CTAGGCAGTAGATGAAATTGTAAAATTTCTTGAAAGTAATGCAAATGGCTTCTTTCAATGTTTTGTGTCATTAGCAAGAAAATAAAAGTAAATATAATACGCTATGTTCTTGAGGTGCATATTTCAGAAGTGATGATGTTGCAATCTAAGCAGAGGGAATACACAACTTCATTTTGTGGGCTTGTATGTATTCTAGCAAGAATTAAATGAAGTTAATAACAAGTTAAGGACCACTGTCAGTTGGTATTATGGAAGCTTCCTGTATGTAACAATAGAAAATGGAGTGTACTTTAGGATCTAATACTTAGCATTGCAAATGACCCTGCTCTCCTCTTTCCATTGAACGTTACCATGAAAGTTTCAAATACTTTTCAAATATACTGTTTAGGTTCTTTCCAAATTTAATTCTAAGTCAGTTTGTGAAAAAAATAGAAGCTGACTTAAAATATTTCATTGTTGGTGATGCAGCATGCAAAGAGATAAATAATCAAGATTGTGAAAATAAACTAAACGTTTAAACATTAATTTTAAAAATATGAATTACCTAGGAAAGGGAGAATCAAATTAATTCTTTGGTAAGTTAGCTGTTGTGTAAAATATATTCAGTTACATTTGGAAAGGTCATCTGTGCCCATCCTATTGTGCTTTCAACATCTGATGACATCTTCAGAGAAATCTCATTGTTAAAGCCCATTTATTTACTGATTCAAAGGGCAATGCATTAGTCAAATTTCATACATAAGTTAAATGGTAGAATCTATCACACTGTGGTGCCTTGGTAATTTTTGAATGTGACTAAAACAAAGTTTAGTCTTTCACAGGACCTTTCTATGGGAAGCTAGCAAAGTGGAGATTATTGTAAAAATGAGGATGCAGAAATGACTTAACTCTGGGATCTATTGCTTAATGTTTTTCTTTTAAAGAGAAATGTTAAGGAATACTTTGTATGGTGCTAATGTACTGTCAGAATTCAGAAGCAAGAAAATACCAGTTAGAATTAAGATGTTAACATGTCAAGAATAAGATCAAGAAGATTCAGCAAGACAGGATATTTTTTAGGTCTATGTAAAATGAAAAGAACAAATAAAAATTGTAATAGCAAGACTGCTGTAACAAGGAACTTTTGACAACAGAATTTTCTTTTTGGCATTTCAAAGTAAACTTTGAGAAAGTGAACATAGTTGCAAAGATGACTTTTTGTGTCAGTGGAAGATTGTGCCTGTCAAAGAACAGTTAAATGCATTAAACTGTGTCTAGTGCTATTTAAGTAACCCTGGAAGTAAAGGCCAACTTCTTAATATTCTTGTGTATAACTATTTTAAATACTGAGAAATTAGAGATCATTGAATTTTAGTGCATTAAAAGGAACATGGGTCAACAGTGGAAGGCAGTATTTAGGGATAAATCTCCCAGCAAACCCATATGTTGCAAAATCAGAAATGTTGGAGATGTACAATAAAGTCCAGTAGGAAGAGAAATGAAAATTATTAAATGAACTTACTAAAATTAAGCTACCATAACCGTGTATTTGTGATTTTGGAACAACTGGCTTTCTTGACAACCTAAACCTCCTACCTTTCCGATAAATATCCTCCAAAAATAATATGGCTGGTAAAGGAGATTGTTAACAATTATGCTGTAGACAAGTCTATTAAATCTCATCATCTTGTGACTCTGAATAGAGATAAATTATCCCACCTAGAAGCCAAGTTGCTGTAATTTTATTGACGATCAGATTTGTTCAGGTAAAACCACGTAGCAAGAAGCAAATCTTACATGGTTTGAAACGTACTGTAAGACCTAGAGACAGAACATCAATGCAGACAAATGGAAGGGAGCACATTTTGCAGTTGTCATAAAAAACATTTGCAATACAAAGGCAAGGACACCAGCACAAAGGGTACGATGCTGTGCTTTCAAGAAAAGCAACCAGTTTGCAGAACTCCAACCCGCTTTCATAGTTTACCAGGAAATTTCATAAACGCTGTGGAAGTGCTGAGGACAATGACAGCGCAGGAACGTAGGAGGACTCTGTCTCTCTTAAATGCGCTCTGAAAGGGAGGTTCTGCGGGAGACGAGCTTGTTATGTGAGGCATGAATGGACAAAAAGTAGAGTTAAAGATAAACACTGAAGTTGAGCGCCCTGTAATCATCATGAGGACAGAAAAAATATGTGAGCACAGAGAAATAGGCTCACAAAGCCATGGTGTTTCAGAATAAGTACTATTATTACTTATGGGAACAGGGAATAATGGAAGCTATTGCTTTTCTGTGTTCACATTATATCCTTTTCCCCTCTGTCCTAAATAGAGCAAAACTTTCCCTTAAACATATTTTTCTTTCAAGTTTTTAATTAAATCTTAGTTTTCTGGTGTGTATCATGAGATATTGAAAACATTATTATTAAAATCAGAGAGCAATAGCATATAAATGTCCATATTTTATTACTTCCTATTAAAAATAAGAAAAAGTAACAACAACTTTGAACTTTGAAATATCGAGACACTGGGTGACAGGACAGTTAAAATAATAAAGAAGTTAGGAGTGAATAAAACTTTTAAACGCAAGAGCTCTATCATAGGAACACCTGAAGAGTTTAATAACGAAGGAACATTATGGTTTTAGATGTCTATTTAAGTTTTTATCACCTTTAAATGAAGTACAAAATTCTGTAATTTGAATTCCCCACTGGCTATGGACTTGCTTTAGGAAGCTTGCTTTTGTGATTGTGTAACATGCATATCAGAGGATCCTGTACTCTTATGTGTTGGAATGGCAATGCAAAACTTGCCAAACCAAGGCAAAAGGAGTATAATGGCATCATCTGTACTGCCTGTACCTATTAGAGTACTCTTGCAATTATATATACATGGTATGGTTGAGATAAAGAGAACTTTTGGAAACTGGGAAAAGCATTATAGCAGGAAGTGAAATGCTTGAAATGAGAATCAAAAAAGAAATGCCTTTTTAGACAGGATTTGGTCCCTCCTTCTGGAGCTGAATTGCCTTATGGAAAATGTTTCTAAAATACTAAATAATACTGACACATGTTTAAAGTTTTGAATAGTATCCAGACATTAATCTGAAGCACCAATAGGTTTCTGTGCAGAAATCAGTGAAAGGCTGCCTTGGACTGTGATCTAGTGGATGGGCTCTAATCCTGCCTGCGGTGGGTTGTTAATTATTGTACAAAATACAATGGCTTCAGCAAGAGACTGCAAGAATCCCAGTCCAAAACTCCACACAACGCTATTGTCAGGGTACTGGTGTGTGAGAAGTCAGGAAAAGTGTTCTTTTACACCTCCCAGGCCTTATGAACTAACTGGGAGATGAGTTTGGAGTGGGTGAGACACTCTGTGCTTTGGGGTGGTATTTTGTTTCCCAACTTCACCAGAAATGTGGGTGTTGCAGCATTTTGGAAGTTTGACATTTTTTTAATCCTAATACAGATTATAGAAATTTCTGATCTTTCGCATAATAGATGAGGGAGAATATTCCTAAAAAATGCTGTTTATAACATTAGCAAACAAGAAATGACAGTAGAGTCATGATGACTACTGGGCCATCAGAAATCGAAAATAAAGATGACTGATTTAGTCTGGACCACCATGAGTGGTACTTTTAGTACTGGAATATTAAAAAGTAAAAACTGCAGGAGGGAAATGGCAAAGAATAAAAGGCATGAAGGACATGGAGCTAGCATTTGTTAACACAAATGTTTGATGCTATGCTTTCTGAGCAGAATGTACCTCTAAATCCTCTAAATAATGGCTTTCATTTGACTTGTTGAGCAACTCATTTTGTGACAGGCTGGGAATTGACTGGATAGCGCAGTTTATTCTCTGTAAGAATGTGAGGTGATGTGAGACGAACCCACCATTAAGCATTTGCTTGTCAGCTCAAACAGGCTTTTATTTAGTACCTTTACTCAAAAGAGGGGGTAAGTAAATAATGACAGGCAAATAAAGGCTTCCTATGGTAAAAAACAAAAATGAAAACTCCAGTGGATACTAAGGGATTCATTTTTCATAGTCTTAAAACACAGTGGGCATATTCACCATTGTTCTTTTAGTATTGTAAATTCATCTATGTCTGAACACAAAGGTAAAAGACAATACCCATATTTAATGAGTTTGTCCCCTTCTTTACTTTAAACCTATAAAATTTCTGAAGAGATCTGTCCTGGCAGCCTGTGTAGGTGGGGGAGAAGATGCTAAAACCTTCTGTTTGTGAACAGAAATTCTTCTTAATTCAAAACATAAAGTGTCATAATTGTTCTAAAGCAAAAACTGCACTCAGCCTGTCATGAATTAATGCCAAAGCCGTTTTTCTCTCCAAAGGGAGAGAAGACATCTTAATTGAACTCTGCCTTTGTTGAGGACATCAGAAAAGTTACCGACACAGTGTGCGTGCAAACTGCAATCACGCATCCTGCCATCGCCACTGACAAGAAAACAAAGCAATAAAAGCAGGCTGCAAGTGGCTGCTGTCATGAAGGATGCTGTGGAAGAGAGGCTTGAGGAGCTGTTGCTCTGTCCATTCAGTACGCCTTTGAATCTTTAGTGACAGCCACTAATAACTACAAGTCAGAATAATTCTTTCTGTGGTGGGGCATTGCAGGCTTGACACACTGAACTATTCAACGTCGGAAGTCAAGGTGCAAAATAAGATCGATAAAAATCTTTAGGAGATGTTGAACTGTCCTTTGATTTTGATCCAAGGTGAAGCTTGCTGAGGTTTTGGTGTGTGAGGTTTTTTTGTTTGTTTGTGAAGTCGAGTTGTTTAAAATTAAATAAAAATTGTGTTTTTCACATTATTACCCCACTGTGACAGCTAGGACTTTAAGAGAACTAGTAGCAAAATAATAAAATCATGAGAGCTAGGAACTCTTTGGTGAGGTCGTCTGCTCTCATCACCTTTGTTTGTGTTTTATTGTTTTGCTATATTCTCTTGCCACACCCTTTCTCTTTCATGTGGGGAAAAACAGGTGTGTGGGGGGTATGAAAGGTAAGAGTAATTGCTTGTCTGTCTGTCTGTATCACTGTGCTGGGAGTTTAAAAAACATAATGTATCCAGTGCACCCATGGACAGGCAGCATCAATCTTCTGCTGCTATTCCTGGGCATTGCTGGCCGCTCCTGCTTTCTAGCAGGCAGTTAAAAAAACCAAAGTATGGTCAAGAAGGATTTGAGAAACTAATTTGTAAAGCATCTGAAGCTGAAACTATTCCTGTAATATTATTAAGAGGCAAAGGGTAGATAAAACAGTATAGAAATACAGGGAGTAGCGTTTTTCTCTTCACTGCTTGCTGCCCAGGTGTATCAAAAAGGATGTGAAAGAGTCATTTATCTTTCTGCAAGGAGAAGAGAGAAATTCCTTGCCTGACAGGATTGTCTGCTTCATCTTGGAGATACTTACCTTGAGGCTGTATGGAGTAGTCTTTTTGACTAATATTGCTTATTATGACTTGCATTCCGATTAGCGAGTCATTTCCTACAACTCCACCACTAAATCTGAGTTGCTTTTTTGGTAAGATCAAAGAAATACCATGTCACATTGTCCAGTTCCCCCAGGTTTTTTGAGCACTGTTTAGATAAAACATTTAGTTGCTCTGTACTTTGATTTGTAGACCTGAAGTGCTGTGATGTATATTAAATCAATATTATGATCAAGAACTAGGAAAAATGCATGATTAAATTATTTCTCAGGAATAAAAGTTTTAATCTTGCTAAGGACAGGTAGGAATTTAAAGTAGAAAAGATATTCTTAGGTGGGTGGGTAAAAAGATTTCTAATAATACACAGGAAAAGAAATAAAAAGAAAGTTTCAGTTGTTACATTTCATGGGGGAAAAAAAAAGACGACCTTTTATTTGCCATTTATTAGTCTACAGAGATCCACTTTGCACAATGAAGATATTAATTAGTATCACAATATAAGTAGTAAATTCCAGTTTTCATTGGAACATTCTAATGAAAGAACCATGTTTTGTGACAGTTTTGTTCAGTTCTCTGAGAAATGAAACCATTAAAACTGTACACAAGTGGGTGGTAATACATGACTGGGATGCTCTGGTCTCATGCTGTAATAGTTTTGATTTTGCTGTGTTTGGACTTGAGTCAACAAATAAATGGGGGATTCATACCATGTCTCATCACACATACCTGGAAATAGTATCTGAAATGCATACCTATCCACCAAGTTATTTTCATTCAGATAGTATCTTGGATAGCTCGTAAAGCAGAGTTAACTTTAAATAATGCTTTTGGTGAAAAAATGGATGATTCTGCAATTTCTTGTTAGAAAGTAGATTTTATTGTGAAATTAAAAAAGTTAATAGATGGCGTATGAAAACCAACTTTGAAAGTCTCTTCTAAGTTTCACAGTTTTCCCTTGAAGCAGTAGATATAAACAGCTGGTCATAGTGAGTTGACTGTACTTTGCCTTCCTATGATAGTTTTTTGAGCTAGAAGTGATCATAAAGAATCCTTTATTCATGATTCATTGGGTGTAAAAACTGTTTTTCAAAATACTGTTATTTTTGCTGTAAATACTTTTTAAAGATCTCTTTTTAATAATTTTTAAAAAATATTTTTCTTTGTTCTTTTAAGATGCCACTATAATATGTGTAAATCGAGCATGTTTAAAATAGCCAATTTAGAAATGTCCATTGAAAGCATGCGTTGATAGGAACAGTGCCTGTGTAAGAGGAACTCACTTTTCCTTTTTAAATGATGAAAATACTTTTGAGTTGCCTGATGAAGTTGATTGAAACAGGACATTCAAAGAAAATACAGCTTATTCTGTTTATAAATTTTTAAAATATTTGTTTCTGATTACTGTTACATAAAGGCAGAGGAACTGTTGCTAATGTAAGATTTCACAGAAAGCTAAATTTACAGTGAAAAGAAAAAAAGTTGTAAAGTGCTTACATGTTGCTCATCAAATGTTTGTTATTTATTTATTTCAATGCCTTAATAGTCTTTCTGTGTGAATATTTATAGTAACAGTTGTAATGATATTTACAGTTTAATCTTATATTTTCAATTTAGGGTTTTGGTTTGTTTTGTTTAATATGACTTCGGGTGTTTAAGAAAAAAACTTAACATCTTCATAATCATTTCATGGAACTGAGCCGCTACAGAAAACTTCAGAGCATTCCACTCAGAGGCAGGGGTTTTTTTTTAGTGTTTATTTTCACTTCCCCTTAGGATACTGCCAGTAACCCAGCATAATTGATTGTGAGAGCAATTATACACAAATTCTAGGAGGATTTTATATTCTGGCCACAGGGTTTCATGGAATTAATTTCTGTCTTCCTCAGAAGTTCACCTGTTTATTGTATTACATATCTGTCCCAAATTCTTTATGATTTTAGTTCATTATTGTGGAACTAGGCATGATACGACATAGATGCTTTTAATGCCAATGTCCCCACAAGTTTATGTTCTGGCTGCCTGGAGTTAGGCCTAAAGTTTATGTTTAACAATATTGATACCAATATCACACAGAGGTTGTGCTGTTGATGTTTTTTAAAGTGTGACATCCTTCTCAGCACTGAACCGGTTTTGAAGAAGTTTAATTTGTGATTTGGTGAGGCACCATCCTTGCCATGAATCATAATGTTGTGGCTTGGCAACCTCTACCCAATTCTTTGCAATTTTCATAAATGCAGGGTATTAAATAGGGCAGCTTAACTGTTCAGCTACCTGAATTTCCCATATACTTTTAGCTTACTATGTTTTTTTTCAGTTTTTTTCAGGTTTTTTCCTCTGTTGAAGGAGGGTTGTCTTGCCTTGGCTGTGGGTGTTATTCCCTGGGAGGGTGGGAGAGGGCAGATGAATTGTATCCACTTCTAGATAGGTCAAATATTTTGGGAACTCTTCAGATGGGACTGTTACAAAATATTGTGTCAGATAAGTTTATCACTTTTGGTAGTGAGTGAAAGGAGACAGACCTTTTCTACCAACCATCCTTAATACTTAGGTGAAGTATTGTAAGTTGCTAACAAAGTATCATAAGTTACTGATTTGTATGAAACGAGTGAGGGTTTTAAAATGTTTTGTTAGTTTCTGGAAGGCTCTATATTTGTTGCTAAAGTCCAGAATTTTTTGCAGGGCTTAATCTGTTTTAAGTCTTCTGACTATGGCTGTTAGCGGTGTTCATTTTTCTGTGTTTTACCTGTGTTAGTTATAACGAAGGATGTTGGAGGCAGAGAACAGGACACGCAACTGGCCTAATAATACTCTGCGGCAAGATTTTTCTTCATCTCCATCAGGACCAATCCTGTTGTAGTACTTACTTTTAAGATGGCAATGCTGCTTCACCAAACTTCCTCCTACAGTGAGAGAAGTAGGGATAACTCTTGGAAAAAAGTTTTGAGGCTAGTGACAAAATATGTTTGTCTTTCAGATCCCCAGCTCAAGGGTATAGTGACCAGGTTATATTGCAGGCAAGGCTACTACTTGCAAATGCACCCCGATGGAAGTCTCGATGGAACCAAGGATGACAGCAGTAATTCTAGTAAGTGACTGCCCCAGGGGAATGTCTTAATCGCACACGCAGATTGCATCGCTCGAGTGCGTACGCGCAGACACGGTGTTAATGTCTTTGGAAGGTTTCTGAATGTGTTTTGTTGAAAGGAGGAGGGTTCTGTCCATTCAAAGCCTAATGACCGCCAGCATGGCTCGTGCAGGACATTGGCCTAAATGTATTCCCTCTGAAGGGGAAGGCGTAAGAGCCCATGGACCTCAGGGGTGAGATATTTAGGCCTATGGTTGTCTTGGGGTAATTTTATAAAAACAGTAAAATTATATCTAAAATATTGTTTTTTTAAAAAAGCTGTATGTCTTATTTTCAAATAAATTAAAAAAAAAGATATGGAAATAAAATTGTTTGAAAAATCTATCATATAGGCCCTGATTCAGCAAAGCAAATAAGCATATGTCTAATGTTCAAAGTCCTGCTTAAAACACATGCTGAAGTACCTTGCTGAACTGGGGCTAAAGATCGTACAGTCCCTATATCAGAAACAGTTCCAATGGTTTTAAGAGAATTTCTGCCCATGTAAGGATTGCAGCAGTGGCAGTTTCCATAATTATTTCAAACAAAAGTGGTCTTAAAAGGCCATGTGGCTCACTGCTTTGGTATTCTTTTCCTCTGATATTGCCACAGATTTTCATTCAAAGGGCATATATATGTTTGATAACTTCAGCTGCAAATGATAATTAAGCAAATCTGTTCTTACTCCAGAAACAGTTGATTTTTAATTTTCTGTTTAGCAAAGAACATTTGTATTTTGATTATTATAATGATAATAGCATATTTAAGTAACATTTCTGTGTGATGTTGAGGTCTATTGTAAACTTTTTAACACAAGATTTATCTTCATATAATGCATATATAAATAAGCCTTTCACTTCCTCAAAAATGTTGGAATTAGGCTATAGAAATTAAGGGATTTATGGTTTCTGCATTACTTTGATTAGGTCTCTGTTTTATCTGTTATTGCACAGCTGTAATTTTTAACACATTTCATCAACAGATACTGTGATCTTCTTTTCTTCTTTTTATTTTTATTTTTTTTTAGAATTGAGAAAAATAATTGATTAATCTATTTTGATGTATAATCCTCTGCTTGTTTTCCAAGTGTGGTGTTTTTTTTTTTTCCTCCCCTGTTCCTTGTTTCTTTTCTTCACTCACTGTGTCCATCTCTCATGCCCACTTCTGCACTGGACTAAATACTAAGACATTGTACAGAAAAGATCATTATTGCTTTTTATAGCAGCTTTGCCTATATGAGGTCCAAGAAAAGTGTCAGAGTGTGAGCGAGTATCTCTCTCCCCCTCTCCTCTCTGCCCATCTCTCTCTTATTTTCAGCTTCAGTGAGGAGATGTGTATGACTGCAACAATTTCTGATTTTTTTCATGTTGTTTCTGGGATTTTTTAAAGCTTAGAACTCTGGATTTTAAATCTTTGCAAAACTAGACCATGGTGCCTTACTTGCCTCTTCACTGTTGTCAGCTTTACAAATCCTCTTTTTTTTTTTTTCTTTTTTTTTTTTCTCTCCCCTCCTTCCTGCCTTTCTGGTTTTCCATCTGTCTGCCCATGTCTCCTATTATTGTTGTTCCAAAATGCAGAATGAATATTCTGTATTATAAATATTCTGAAATACAGAACTTGTCCAAACTCAACCAAATACGAGATAGCAATATTACATGTTTTGGATAAATACTGTTTGATAATATTGTATTTTATTTTAACTTGATTTTTAGGCAAAAGATAGGGTTTTTTTGGTAAAGGGATTTGTTTCTGTCTTTAACTGCTGTGATTCACTGTTTGTTTCTTCACTAGTGCAATTTTACAATATTGTTTAGTAAAGCCAGTTTAGGCCATAAAGATGTAAAATTAATGTGTTTGCCAGGAAAGCATATAATCTCCATCTTAGATTTTGCTTGTATATATGTATCAACACTATAGTAAGAGCTGAAAAGATTGATCCATTTGCTATATTCATTGGTATATGAATGTGTATATTTCTCTTGAGATGTCAGTCTTTCTCCTCATTTCTTTTCCTTTTACAGTCTATTTCCTTCCATTTCTTGTTGAACTTTGTCTTCTATTGCTTTTCTTTATTGCAGCATATTTTCTTTTTCATTTTCTTTTGTAATTTAAACCCATAATTTTCGCATGGATAGAATTTCTAGTATCTTTTGTTTTGTGATAATTTCTGTCTGAGGCTTACTGGTAAATAGGTTTTGGCAGCTGCCAGAGGGGGAACATCCTGCTTCTGACCATGGAGCTAGCAGGCTGCCCAGTGGGCAAAGGGATGGAGATATATTAGCTGTCAATAGGACAGATAGTATGGTTACCTTGGTAGTGAGGATGAATTCCACTTGAAATGTGTTTCATAAAAATGGAGGAAATGTAGACTGCCAAAGGTTGTGCGTCTCTGCCAGGCTTCCGCTCATCTTCTGCACTCTTCACTGTCCTTGAAGCCTGTGACAGAGTCCTCCTCGTGCATTGACCATCTCAGTAGCTGGGTGTCAGAGAAGACTGAGTGAGTAGCAAGGGATAGAGAAGTGATTTCTTATTTGTCTTCAGCAAGAAAACTGTTTGAAGCTTGGTCATGCTGCTACTTTTTGTGCTGTTGCAATCTATTCTGAGTCAAGCAGTTAGAGGGGTGCTTGAAGTTACAATTCCCTCAAGTGCATGTATCATTTTTTACTCTTTTTATATGTATGTCAGCAAACATCAAGTTGCACACTACTGGAGTCACAGTATTATAGAGCGGTAGCGCAAAGTAAGATTATGATGAAGACTGTTCAGGTCGAGTGGTTCTGTTTACACCCATTTTTTGTTTGTCTTTAAAGTTTCTTAGTAGTCTCTTCAGCATGACTTTTTGCTTCTATTTGAAGTCAAAATGAGTTTTACCAGTGGTTGTCAGCTGCTATCATGCAAGCCTTAAGTTTCAGTAAAAGCTGGAGTCTGCAGAGATAGATGGCAAGATTTGAAATGTATCACTGAGCATAAACCCCTGCACAAAAAATAATAGAAAGATGTGACTGCTTGCAATTGCATCCCAGAACGTACTTTCATCTGCTCATGTTGGTGGCCATGCTACTAGAACCTGACTTAAACAGACTAATGGGCTTTGGTTCAACATTTTAATTTCTTCTTAGATCTTTTCCAACTTAGTGACGTATTGTGACAGAGTATGAATTAATGCACCTATTGGTGAACAGTGGAGAGTTTCCTGCT